TGCCCATAGTCAGCCCGAGAGCATCGTAGTCGTGTTCTTTACCGAAAGCATTTGCTGTGGGTGGCGTGATCACAGCACGATCAAGATGGCTGTAGTCGTCATCAAGCTTGACATCCCCGGCCTCAGCGTCAGGCTTTGGCTTTGGCTTCTCGGGCATGGCGTATGTAGCGCCTCAAACGATGCAATGCTGGGGACTAGATTTGAATGTGTCGATTGCCTCGGCGTACGTGTTGCCACTACAGTGCCTTTCCTTTAGTTCGGTATATTCGTCTTTAGCAGCTGTGTGAAAGACGAAACCCACAATTATTTCAGCCCGAGACTTTTGCCCTTTTGCCGTATTGTAAATTCTTCATTCACTCTGTATTTTCGCTTTTAATTTTAGCAAAAGGCTAACGCTCTTCACCGAAATCAACGGAGATAAAGTTGTTTACCTGCTGCAGTATTATAACAGACATAAGGCGAAATGGAGAGAGCATCAGTCCTGCAAAAAAGTTCAAAATGCAGAAGACTACCATCAGAAGACAAAATTCCCCGCAAATCTAGTTATAGCAAGTTTGTATAAAAAAACATCCGAAACACTGGTAGATGGGCATGGGAGTAAATTCGGATTTCAACGGAGCAGTACAGGTGTATTTATACGTGTATTTTGTAAAAAAAAAACGTACAACCGGGAAGGAGTGAAAAGATGGCACAATCGCCGGCAATCGCTGCGGGCAGTAGGATTCCTAAGACGTACATGCAAGGAAGCCACAACTACCGTAAGATACAGGGCACAGTGACATGGCCTTACTTCATCTGTCAACCACTGGTCAGGTGTCCAGGCTGTATTTTGTCGTTAAGTCACCTAGAAAACTCGAGTGAGGCGACCAGAATGGTAGTCGGTCAAATTTGGCAACAATTGTCCATTTTCCGCTGAAAGTGCGCCCCAATTAAAACAGCGCGAAACATCCTCAATTCACCCTACTCAGCAAGTGCACTTACCTGTTTCCCTTGCCTTGTTTACGTCTGTGTTGGAGAAAGAACACCAGAGCTACGATCAAACCGACCAGGACGACTCCAGCTATCACTGAACCAATTACAGCACCTGTTGCAGACGAGCTTCGACCGCCGGGATCTCTTGGGTTGGGACCAGCCAAAGAAGGAGGTGGTCCCTTCTTTGCTGAAATCGTAAATATCCAGGGCAGAAATTTGTCAGGATTATTCCCTAATTCAGGATTTC